GCATATATTAATTAATCATAGGTAGTCTGCGAAGAAATAAATATTATAAAATGCGAATCACTCCTCATATATACATACCAAATTATATGTTGATCCTAGTATACTGAGCTTAGATCTTGAAAAGTGATCAAAGTTTTAAATATGCAGAAAACTGATCTTGCTGAATGAAGAATAACCATGATGGAATCCTCATCTTAACATTAAACGATACAAAAACTGGTTCTTGATTTCAAGAGGAAAACAAAATTTGAACAATCCAATTTAAACAAAAAGAAACAAATTGTTTTGCCTGCTTAAAAATATCAATTACAATTTCAAAAACATGTTAAACAAGATTTAGACTTTTTATTGAAACCTCTTAGAAGATTAATGTAGATCTAGATAAATTAAAGATGTCCTCTATTCCTTCCTCAGTCTTATTCTCATCTCTCAAAAGTATGATGAAGTGGTGGTTGCTCTATCAGAACTAGGTGTGTACTCAGTGACGGAGCCATGAATTTCACAAAGGGTGTCCAGAAATAACACATCTTTTTAAAATGTAGAACTAGTGAGATTCAAACACTCGAGCACTTCCTCATTCCAAGGAGGTGAAACCACTGGGCTATAAGAGCTTGTTATGTTAAGGGTGTCCAAAGTATGTTATTTAGTCACTTCGTATATCATTTTACTTGTATATACGGTATTTTTTTCCGACGAAGGCCAATTGGACATCCTTACCACCATGTGGCTACACTACTGTGTGTACTCAAGAAACCCATTGAAGCTTAATATTGATCTAAATAATCATGGGAGTCCTCCGGCTAAACCATCCACGGAGGAACCTCCACAGCTTGAGTTGAAAGTGCTTCCTGCTCATCTTCGGTATGCATTTTTGGGGGCAAATAATACCTTGCATGTTATCATTGCAGCGGACTTGCTTGAGTGGCAAGTGAAATTGCTTCTTGAAGTGTTGAAACGTTACATCAAGGCAATAGAATGGACAATTGCTGATATTGTAGGCATTCCATCCGGAATTTGCACTCACAAAATACAATTTCTCAAAAATAAGATAAGCTACATATTAACATATTTTTTCTTTAAACAAACTCAAAAAGTGATTAATTACAAGCATTGCAGTTACAAGAATATGAATTACAATGCAAGAATGTGAGTAACCAACGATTATGCGAGCTAAATATTGGCAATAACACTTATTTTAAACAATAACAGAGAGATTTGGAAACAAACTTCTCAAATCTGGATTTCAAAGGCAACCGCGTTATCGATTAAGGTAAATTAGGATTATTTGATTTGATTTGGTGTTAAAATGTATAATTAGAAAAGATTTGGGGTGTAAAAGCTTTTGTTTGTGTTGGGTATTTGAGAAGTGATCGTGTGCATTAAGAAATTGGCTGAAATCTGGTAATTTCTAATTAAAGTGACTCTCTTTTTGGAATTATAAATCTAAATCAAATATCTAAACTTTGACCAAATAAATATGAATGTGAAAAAAAGAAGCGATAATTAATTATTTGAGATTTAAAATTTAATAGAGTAAAATAATTATTTGCAAAAAAAGATTAAATAAAGTAAATAAATGATAAATGACCTTTATTTTGACAAAATAAAATATATGTTTGACTATTATATTTTAACATAAATCAATTTTCAAAATTAATAAAATCGATATATATTGTATGTTAGAAAGTATCTTGGCTTAATGTAATTATTTATTTCACCTTTTGAAGAAACTTGACTAATTACTATTGAATATTGGTATTACAATAAAACATCATTCCATTTGCAATTGTGCAGGCGAAATTTTTATACTTTAATAATACTCAATAGTAACATCATTACTTACTATTGTAATTACGTTAAGCTCTATCAAATTAGAAACACTTGCTTTAAAAAGCATATTTGTGAGTTTTTTGAAGGGCTGACATTCTTTGTTATGTCATCACTAGATATATTGTTTAAAATATTTTATTAATATCAATTTATTATATTATATTGTTGATAAAAGTTTTGAATATTTTAATTAAGATATCTATCACTACTTCAGCAACTGATATTTGAGGTTCTTCGAGCTACTGTTATTTCATATTCAATTATAGTAGTGATTCTTTGTCACAACACACAAACGTTTTCTTCAATATGATTAAAAATGGTGAAATGTTCCCTGCTATTTACAAACAAAAAATATCATTTGTAAAATCAGTTCTCAACATTGATAACATGATATAATACATATATTGACCCCTAAACTTGGCTTCAAATTTTAACTTTGACCTTTAACTTTGTAAGTGCACAAATAGGCACTTTAACTATCCAAAACTTAAACAAAAAAACACTCGGATCCTACCTAGCAAAATGCATGAAATACACTCAAATTAGGCGCGTCAGATGTAAAAATTCAGGGGGTCAACAGTAAAAAAAGCATTGAAAGGACAATTAAACCCTTTTTATATTTTTTTCAACAATTTTCCCCTCTTTTTTGCATTATTTGTTGTT